TTTACGAAAACTGTGATCAGTGATGAAGAACGTCCGCAATTAGTAATCTGTATAAGTATTTTAGCTACAGATAGTATGGAACCTAATAAATTAAAGAGACTTCTTGAAACCAAACATCCGAAGTTTACAAATAAACCAAAAGATTTTTTTTTTTGTTAGAAAGCTTAGTGGTTTACAGAAATTTGCTAAAACAACAAATGTGACTTCTAAGGCCCTTTTGGCCTCTTACCAGGTTTCTCATAGAATTGCTAAATGCAAGAAACACTGAATTTACCAGCAGCGATTGACATAGTATCAACAGTGTTGGGTGACACTTCTGCTCAACAACTAAAGAATATCCCCCTCTCTACTGACACAGTTTGTGGAAGAATTTCAGACGTTTTTGACAATTTACATCGGCATTTAATTGAGAAGTTGCATAACAAGTGCTTTGCACTTCAAGTGGACGAAGCGACTGATATTCATAAAGATGCTCATTTGATTGCGTACGTTCATTTTGTTGCTGAGTGTAATATGCAAGAGGAATTGTTTTTCTGTGAGCCTATCTTGAAAACAGCAACAGCTCAAAGCCTTTTTGACATGATTAATGCTTTCTTTAATGAAAATGGGATAAGTGCACTGGCATATGTACAGATGGAGCTCATTCAATGTCTGGAGTCCATGCTGGATTACAAGCAAAGATTAAAGCTGTTACTCCCGAAGCAGTATGGACTCACTGTATGATGCATCGGGAGGCTCTGGCAATTAAAGAACTCAGCCCACCCCTTCATGAAGCTCTGCAGATGGTTGTAAAAACTGTTAATATTATCAAGACAAATCCTCAAGTCTAGACTTTTTAAAATTCTGTGTGAGGAAATGGGTGCCGAATACACTGTATGTTGTTTTTTAGTGATTCTCAATGGCTTTCAAGAGGCAAGGTATTAAAGAGAATGTTTAAGCTGAGGCATGAGGTGTTCTGTTTTTTTTTAATGGGGAAAATCACTCACTGGCACAGTTTCAGCAACAAGGATTTTCTATTGAAAATGGCTTACCTCACAGATATATTTGAGAAACTAAATATCCTCAACACTTCACTTCAAGGGAATGAGGCAACTGTACTTTCTTGGAATGACAAAGTGAAGGCATTCATGAGAAAATTAGAGCTCTGGAGAAACAGTATGGAAAGTGACATGCTAGACATGTTCCCTACTCTGGTGTCAATGGTACAAGACACTGATAATCCAGTGCTTCCAATGGACATAAAAAGCTGTCTACTTGAACATCTCATAATGTTGAAAGTTCATTTCAAGAAATACTTTTGCAATGATTTTGATGAATTTAATTGGATAAAAAATCCATTTGAAAATGCTCCTGGGCCATCTCTGAAGGTAAATGAGCAAGAACAACTCATTGATCTCACTAGTGATACTTCATTAAAAAGTAAATTTAAGGAATTGTCTTTGTTGGAGTTGGATACATATTGGCAAGGAATTCCCAACTTTGAGCCAAAAAGCATTGAAGATCCTGATTCCTTTCACAACAACTTATGCGAGACAGGCTTCTGTGCTTTGGCAGCTATAAAGTCAAAGTATCATTCAAGGCTAAATATTGCTAAAGAAGTTAGAGTGGCCATTTCTGATATTACACCACGTTTTGATAAACTTTGTTCTCGAAAGCAGGCCCATCCATCACACTGAACTTTGACATTTAAATGTTTAATATCCTTTGCAGAAAAAAATTATATACTTGTTAGTTAAATATCATTTAATTTCAGTACATTTTTGTTTAATTGCAAGTGTTAAAACTAATTTTTATTGTAGGCCTAATATTGTGATAGTTTAATTTTGAGTAAGAAAACTGCTAAATAGTATGTAGAAAAACACAAAATAAGCTGAATAAAATGTCAAACATACCATGACTTCTATTTTGACATGAAAAAACAGGCTGGGGGCTGAGAGTATTTTCTCTTGTTGGGGGTAGGGGGAGCTCAGAGGTAAAAAGTTTGAGAACCACTGCACTACGGTGTTGTTGCAAGATGCATAAACAGGTAAAGTTAATAGAATATAAAAAGAGGTAAAGGTTATACCCATACAGTCCTTAGCTATGTAACTGACAGCATAAAATGTGGTCATCTTAATACGTTACCTTTTCAAGCCTTCAAAAACATTCACAAGTCTTATCAGCATAAACCTCAGCATTACATTTAGAAGAGTGAAAAAAACATCTACAACTGTTTATTGACTTAGTTATATCATTAGTTTTAAATATATGGCTGTACAATTTGATGTAATTTAAACAACTTTCATCTTATGTGAAGTTGCCCTTAAATTGGCCATTCAAGTCTGAAACATATTGGGCTGCAAGATTATTTCATCAGAAACTGGATAGCACTTCACAGAATTTTTTTATATACTGAATCTTGGCTGTAGGGCTTTGAATCACTGCATTGGTGGTCCTGAAAGGGCTATTAAATAAAATGCTATCTGAAACATTTATACATACCAGTGCAGCTCTGAAAAAGAATGTGTCTGTGAAACATTGATAACCACCAGCAAGTCTAAATATCACAATGTGAAAAATAATTTAGTTTGTTTTTAATTTACATGAAACCAAAACTGAATTTATCCACTTCATGAATGAAGCGGTCATCTCATGAATACGTCACAACACAATGACATTTGCAGCTTATATAGAGATAATTAAACACAAAGATTAGATTTCCAACAATATATTTGTAGCTACAGTAATTAATTGTACATCAAGCCAAAGTAGTAAGCAGAATAGGAAAATGTGTTTGGAGTATTCTGCTATTCCACACTTCCAGTATTGTTCTCAAAATTGCAAGCCTTTGAATCTTAATGCCATAAGCATGGTAGAAAAACATGAAAGTAGGTGTGATATCAAATTGCAAGAAAAATCGTGTCTTTGGAATTCGTATGCTAGATCTGAAGTCCCTCAGCATGATGAATTATGAGTCACTTGTTTTAATACACTTCCAGTGCTGGTTGTGTATGTGATTGTCATTATGTGGAAGCTGTGAATCATATCTTGTTTCGAAATGAGAGTGATGTAATATAGAAGGGTATATCATCCTTTAGCCGGTCACGGTAGCCGAGTGGTCTTAAGGTGTGAACTGTCTTCGCTTGCTCAGAAGCCGGGATCATGGATTCGAATCCCACTCCGGGCATGGATGTGTGTGTGTGTTTTTCTGTGTTTGGGTACAGGTAGAGGCCTTGCAACGAACTGATCACCCACCCAAGGAGTCCTACCGTATGTCTAAGATCTAGAAAAACCGAAGTGAATGGAGAAGTTCATGGAGGTAGGCCTAGGCCCACTGGGGCTGTATTGCCAAAGAAAAAAAAAATATCATCCTTTACCAAGGCAAGCTGCTGAAGCTTCAGTTACATGAAAGATTACACGAATCATTTCCCCCCACCATGCTGAGGAAGATGGGGGAAGTGTTTTCCAAGACCATCTTAATGAACTATCAAAAGGATTTGTGAACATGATATGCTGACTGGCAGTAGGCCAGAGAATAGGTATCTAGGATTTACTTTCGTGGTGCATTTTGAAAGGTATAAATTTCAACTTCAATTCACATTTCAGTATTAATGTTGGTCCTTTATGTTGTCAAAGTACATATATTGAAGCCGCCCCAGGCTTTTCAGTGAAGGGCTCAACCTGTGCTTTAGAACTAAATTAAATACAGAACCAATTTGGTAAACTCGTTTTAAGTGATCTTTAACGAGTGAAAACGCAAAGTTGACCCTGTGCTTAATTAATAAATTACCACGCCATGAAGATGTATGGGGGAGTGGAAGTATAGCTCCGCTGTTCTTGGCCTTGTCACAAGATGGAGGTGAGTAGTTAGCTTAACTCCCCAGCTGTTTTGCCACCTGTACCAATTGAATAGGTGGTGTGGTGGGCCCTGCAACCGGTCTGGACTCTGTGGAGTGAAGAAGAATCCTTTCCCCCTGGTGGGAATCGAATCCCTGCCTTTCATCCCATAGCCTGTTTCTATACACTGAGCTATCCTGGTGATAGGTGAGGGTGATTGTGGAGCAATTGGTGGAATGAAGATTGGCAGGGGCAACCGAAGTACTCGGAAGAAAACCTGACCCAGCGCCACTTTGTCCACCACAAATCCCACTTGACCGAACCCGGGCCGCCGCGGTGGGAAGACAGCGACTAACCGCTTGCGCTGTGGCGCTGCCTACTGGTACCCGTAAGTAGCGGTAAGTAGTTTTCTTTTAGCTAGGTAACTAAGCTAACGACGCCGGAATCAATATCATAAAATGTAAGACTTGCACTTCATACAACTGTAACCTATGGGCATTGCCTAGGCCTTTATTTATGTTTTTTTTTTTTTCTGCAATAAAAAATATAGAAAGAAAATTGAAAGAAGTAACTGTACTGATTATTAACAGTATACTCTCAGATTTAAGTTAAGATCTATATTAAGAATCGCGGGGTGACCGCTATTATAGAATAAGATGTTTAAAAGAATGTGCTACAGCAGGCTGGATGGGCATTGCCTAGGCCTTTTTTTAATTTAAAATAATTTTTATACAAAAAAATAGCGAAATTCATCCGTGGACAGTTGTAGCCAGATCTGTAGTAATAAGTAGTCTTCGGTAGATCGATAGTTAGCATTCCGTGGCGGTAGCCATGTTTAAACATGGAGGGCGATTGGAATGGAAATGTACAGCGTCCAAGGGGTCCAAGGCATCTAAGTTATTAAGGTCATGAAACGTTTTGCCCCGATCGCAGGCTAGGATTGTCGTTCGTATCCCACACGAGGCAAGGATATCTGTTTGCGGTCATTCCGTTCGTCTTGTGGATCATGTGTTTGTGTTGTGTGGTCCTCAGTTGTGCAGCATGTAGCCTGTCGCTATATCGACTGAGCTATCAGTCCAGTTTAAAATGTACAAATATTGCGTTGNCTGTGTTGCCCGCCAATAGCATTGAGTTGCATACCCTTGATACCGACTGAGCTATTAGTCCAGTTTGAAAGGTACAAATATTGCGTTGTCTTTGATCAAAGTTCAAAATTAATTCTGTTTTTGTTCTTGTAGTTTAATGGCATTCAGCATACGAGAGCTGTGCGATGTTGAGTATAAATTATTCTATAAGTTGAGTAATTTTGGTGTTTATCAAAATTATTAGGAGCTGCATAAGAAATTCCCGAGAGATCGGTCGTCACTCTTATTAATATCCAAAATGGGAATTCGTTCAGTCGTTAATGGCGATGGCCGTGATGACACTCAAGTTTTCATCAAAGGTAGTAGTGAAACAAGTGAGGTAACGAGTTTTTGTTGATCTAAATTTAAAATAGAACTCAGATCAGTACAAAAAATTATTGAACTGCTACAGTAAGAGATAAACACGTCAAATCGTACCGTAAGTACAGACTCATGTTGCTTCCACAGTTAGAACTAAAAAAAAAGGGGGGGAACTGGGTTCTTGTTTTTTCACAGGACCACCAGGCAAATGTTGATTGGACCTAGTATCCCTAATCACGTGACAAGCACCAAGACTTTTGAATACATTATTTACTAATCCTCAGCCATTTGATACTATATACTTTCCGGTACGAAGTGTGTTGTGAAATCATGAAAGGAAATGTGGTGCAGAAGCAGTTTTGAATGTTATTAATAATCGGACACAACTTTCAGCTCCAGAAGAGATACTATCCAACATCAAGATTGAGCCCGAGTACAGCGAACGGGAGCTACAGATAGCCCTCAAGAAAGCATGGAGACTGAAGCTGCAGGAGGCTGTTACAGAATCAAAGAACAGTGTAGAAAAGGTACATCACATCAGCAGATTTCCTTTTTAATTCTTCTCACAAATGTTTGGCTGTAGCAGGGGCCATTTCTCTTGTTCAGTTAAGGCTATCTTCCCCTTACCTGCCTCTGCTTTTTCTCCCTGAGACAAGAGAGGAGCAGCCCTATGGCTGCGGTGATGAAATTGATGTGGTGGGCGGTGATGAAATTGTCCCTAGCTACAGAATCCTGTGCCATGTTTAATTCCTACACAGTGTCTCCATATGTTCCAGTTATAAAATGTTGCACAGAACGTTGTAGTAAAGTTCATTATGATGTTTCCTCCTTGGTTACGGTACAAAACCATTGTACCCTAGAGAAACTATATTGTAATTTAACCTGAGGGCTATTAAATTGTTTCTCTCACAGTTTGTTGTGGTGGGCCTCAAACCAGTAAATCATATCTTCACATTTAAGTAATATCACATCCTTTCTTATTCTGCTACAAACTGAAAGGTCATGGGTTCGATTCCCAGTTAGGTAATTGGATTTTTAGCTTGACTGAATCCTTCCAGTCACACTATGACCCTGGGGTCAACTCAGGCTCTAACAGAAATGAGTACCAGGAATATTCTTGGGAGGTAAAGGGTGGCTGGCATGTAAGGCTGACCTCACTACCATCTGTGAACTTATTGTCGAGAAAGTATGGGAGTCTCGATGTCTTGCACCCCTCTGGGCCTCCAAGGCCTGTTACAGGGAGAGCTCTACCTTTTTTTTATACTATCATCCTTTCTTGTATTTTGGTTATTGAGACCTGTTATGGCCTCCTGTCAAATAGGCACCAAGGACTGTTTCCCTGGGTGTGGGAGTGGCATGGAGCTGGCCACTCACCTCCATCTAGAGCAGGCATGTCAAACTCAACTTGTTCAGAGGGCCACCTCAGCCCTATAAATAATAGTCCTGGGCCACACTTCAAAATAGAAATATACATTAGATTTTGATACAAGGAAATTTAATTCTATTTATTATTTAGGAATAATTTCAATATAATTACTTAAAGTCACATATCTTTAGTTTTAAAAGGCAAGAGAATGCCATTTTTGACAAGTATCAAACAACTTTTCAATATCTAAAAAGAGAGATTACACAAGAAATTATGTTAGAAATAGCAAAACATTGAATTAATAACATCAAAATTACATGTGTCGAACTTCATAAACTGTTAACTTGGAAGACAAAAAACCAACAACTATATTGTTTCACTTTAATATCGTTAATAATATTATTCATGA